AGATAGATAGATAGATAGATAGATAGATAGATAGATAGATAGATAGATAGATAGATCAAAAGTATGATTTATGGATGGGAGAATTTTTAAGGTACCTTTCCTCTTGTTGATGTCAGAGGCTGGGCACCTTAAGGCTTGCCATTGAATGGATTAGATTTGAATTAAAAGGAGGTGCAATTCCTTTTAATTTCATTCCCATTCCTTCTCCCCACCCCCACCCAAATATGGGGGTCCTCCTTTCTGCCAGTATCTCCCCTCCCCATTTACCCCCCCCCCCGGCCAGCCCATAATACCCTCGCCCCATTAACAGCACACGAAAAGACAACCCCCTCCCCTTTCATAGCCTGGGTTCTCAGAAGCGGGTGGGGGGGCAGTAAACTACAACTCCCATCAACCCTCAGTACCTTCACCCTTGTAATGGAAGGCTGAAGACACTGAGGGGTGATGGGAGTTGTAGTCCAGCCCTCCCGGAGCGCCCGCTGGGGCAGAAACCAGGCCGTCCCTCCCCGGCTCTCGGCCCCTACTCGGCTTTGTTCTCCTCGGCGGCCGGCTGCGGCGCAGGACCCTCGTCTCGCTGCCGGGCAGGCGCCGCCGAATCCCCACCGCCCCATCGAGGCCGCTGCCGGCCCCCCTTGGCTGCCATGCCGAGTGTGGGCAGGCGGCCGGGCTCGTGGCGCTCAGTGCGGGGACGCGACGCCGGCCGCCGCCATCCTCGGTGTGGGCACGGCGCAGGCGCAATTGTTCCCCCCCCCCTCTCTTCCTATATTTTTGCTCGCGCTGCGCTTTGGTGCAGCGACGGGCGACGTGTAAAAGGCACCAAATCTCATAGGCCGGGCAGCAGGGCCTAGTGGGAAGAGCTCCAATGTCATTTGCATGTCCCTCCGTCCCTAAATTGCCTTCTCCGGGATTGGTTTTCTGCATGGGCACCCAACCCCACCCCCCGTTGCAATGGCAAAGGACAACAATAATGTTGTTTCTGCAAGTTATTGCTATTGCTGCTGTTATGGCTGCAAAAAGGTTATTGCCTTTATTTTAATAAGTCAATAAATAAATCTGCCCGTCGGGGGAAAACTGATGCCTTTATTTTATTTAAATTCCAGCTTTTATTATTTTGTGTAAATAACTCAAGGTGGCAAATATCTTTTCTTTGATGTACACTGAGAGCATTTGCACCAAGACAAACTCCTTGTGTGTCCAACCACACTTGGCCAATAAACTATTCTATATATTCCACACACCTCCCTCCCTCCCGCTGCTACTTTGCCCGCACCACCGGCCCCGCCAAGTCCTCCTCCTGGTCCCCCTACCTAACCATCACCCGGAGGCAACGCTGCAGTTCTTCCCTGAGCTCCTTCTGCATGGCTGCCACCTGGGGGCGACCGAGCGCTTTGTCACACGACTGGTAAGTGAGCCTGTAGCACAGGCTGGTGGCGGGCGCTGTGCCCAGCCGCTGAAAACGGTCAAGCAGCCGGACAGACGCAACCGTGTCCAAAGACACATGCCTGGCAATGGAGTGAAACTGGACTTCACAGAACATTTCTGCCTCTGGGAGCCAGAAGCTGATGTCGTGGACGTAGGTCGGTGGATGGAGGGAAAAGCTCTGGAAAAGGCCTAAGCGGCCCCCTGAAAACTGGCTGCCAAAACGCTCGTCCGGAGTCCAGAGCATCCGCCAGTCAGAAATGCCACACGCGCACATGGCCAGAAGATCGAGGTTCAAGGAGATGCAAGCCATGTTTTGGTGAACGCTCGGAGGTTGCCAGCGAACGATGCTTATTGTCCCGACACGAAATTCCTTGGGGCCAGAATCAAAGCCCTGGCAGCTCACCGTCACGGCGTGTTTTGGGTTGAGCAGAAACAGTTCTGGAGAAGATAGAAAGGCCTCCTGCTCACTGCTTTCTGGCTCCTGGTTCAGAAAGGTCAACTTAACGTCAGATGACGGGAGTAAAGAGTTTAATGTGCCCACGAGGATCTCCATCAGGAGCTGCGCATCTTCTCCACCTTCCTTAAGGGCACAGATAAAGAGGGCCTCGTGAAAAATAGGAGGCACCTGAACAGAAATTTTACATTTTTTAAAAGCCAGTCCGCTGAGGGCCAACAGACTCCGAGGAGAAAAGTCCCTCTGTTTTACAATAGAATGAAGAAAAACCAACAGGGAAGGCCGAAGGTAATATTGTCCTAAGGTCCAACTCAAATCTTGATCAGTTCCAGGGTCATTTTTAGAAGCCGCAGACTTAATTTCAGGGTGACTTTTGGCAACAGGAATCACCCAAAAGGCGTCTGAGGAAGGAGAAGCAGAAGGGTCTTTGAACACCAAGGGAAATGAAGAATTCGCCTTCTGAACTGCGAATGATCTGCTGAGGCCATCGATTAGTTTTTCATTTATGGTTCTGACAGGATGCTTCGAATTAATACCTAAGAAGTTCCTAGTTCGGATCATGGAAATATTTGGAAAAAAGAAGTGTTAAACAAGGCAAGCCACTAATCTCAAGATGTTGTGCTTTCAAAAACAGCAAATTATTGATGGAGCAGTAAATGTAAAAGGGTGTTACGATTTTTTAGCCTATTACTTAGCATGATTCGAGTTTCTCAGTCCAAAAGGCATCTGGATACCAGAGGAAATGTAGACCCCCTTAAATGTTCCATTTAAGAGCACACTCATCAGCCAAGTTGATTACATTATGCAGAGATCAGACTCAAAGGATCTGGAAATTCTGCTGCATACCTGTTTATCTTATCTAGGAACATCTGTGGAATTTGGCAGGACACGAATTCGCCTTCCAACTTCACTTTGCAAATCAAAGGTTGAGAATACAGAAATGGCACACTCCTGGTGAATATGTGATTCAACGCGCCTTCGATGCAGAAAAATTTATCCTGATTCCTAGCAAGAAAGCAAATGAATCAGGGCTTTTCATTTGTACAGTTGGCTGAACCAACCGAAAGCAGAACAATGGAATCCAACATTCGGAAGGTAAATATTAGGCTGACTGAAACACCAGGCGAGATTCATGTTGAAAGGTGTCAACAGAAGAACAATCTTTGTGAGACAAAGGAGCTGTAGTCCAACATAAACAGAAAGAAGTCAGTTAGCAAAGGTTGTATAGGTCTGATTATTCCCAAAATTTATACAGGGTTTTATTAGAAACTTAATCTGTTCCTTCAATAAATTTGCCCTCACAAAGGCCTGAGAACCAACAGTCATAATTTTTTTTTTGCTAGAGGTAATAGAAATTTCAATATGGGACATATTAGTTTTATAAGAAATAAATCGTGTATGTGCAGTTCTCACCCACAGAATTTGCATGACGTTTCCCAAAAGAGACAGGAGCATTTGGTAAGAAGGCCCTTTCTTGGGGCAACATCCAAGATGGCACCTGGCATACGATCAGCCGCAGCTTACCTGTAGCCTGTACATTTATATCCACCGACGTCTCTGACATCAAATGGCTCGATGCCGCTCAAGAGAAATCCTGCTTCTGCGGCCATCTCCACCACTTGCCAGCTGTTGTGCCACTCACGCACCGGCTGGTCTGCAGGGGTGCCCCCTTGTCCTTTGCAAAGTGCCACGTGGACGTCTCCTTTCTCTGCCAGAACATCTGCACAGCTGGAACAAAGAAAAAAGAGGGGTACCATTTTGCCACACAGCCGATGTAGCAAGCTGTCTTTCTCAGTTTTCTTTTCTTTGTTTTAAGAAAAAGGAAAAACAGCTCTGTAAGGTCCAGACTCTCCCCCACTTCAGACGGTAAGAACGAACTTTTGAAAACTGGGTATTTCAAAAGGAATTCTTTATTGAAGATGGAAGAAAGCAAGTCAACATTCAAAGCAGGGTCTGATATCCTTCCGGGCAAGCAGCTCAGACAAAGGGAGTTAGAACCCCTCCCCTTAGTCCGATGTGGATTTCGCCAATACGCAGAAGCAAACACGTTATTTTCCCCTCGCCTCTGAGAACGTAGCTAAGAAGAGATTCCTAGGAAGTTTCTTTTGGAATTGGAATTTATCTGGTCCCTTCTCCTCTTGCCATCTCTCTGAGGGGTGAGAAGTTTCCAGCCATCTGGGACGCCAGGCAATGGTTGACCTTGTCTAAAGGTCATACAGATTCAGTACAAGAGTTAGGATATTCATATTACATCAAAAAGAACTACTTGTATCAACCCTCCCTCCCCTTGTTCTTCCATTGAAGAATGACAGATACATGGATCTGACAACCTCCAAAGGAGTCTTTTCAGCAGACTTCTGAAACATTGTTTTGCATAAAAATCTTTGTTGTTGGAGGAGCATACAGGGATAGCAAGACCAAGAACCAAAGCCATAGAAATCCTCAATTATATTTCCTCTGCCCATACCATGTTCTATCCAGCAGCTCTTTGCCCAAAGCTCTTAAGAGTAACAAAGATATTCCTGCTCGATTGATAAGTTCAAAAGGTAGCTCTATCTTCTTGGCATTTATATTTTGAGGCTTGTAATGCAAAACATAATGGTCTGGAAACAGTACGCAGCCTTGCTTTGTCTCACCTGCAGAAAAACTTGGCAAGAAGCTCCCTGTTCTTTTTTATTCCAGCCTTTTTTCCACAGTGAGGGAAATTGAAATAAATACGGTCAAAATTCCTCATAGTTGGCAAGAAGTATTCCTTCAGTTTTGTGCAGTTGACAGAAAAGTAGACTTCAGCACCTGGATTATTAAAAGAATAATAATGCACAGTTTAACAGTTGATTTTCCCCCCCAGGTAAACAAAATATAAGGACAACAAAAATGCAACTACAACAATACCACTTCCCTCACACCTCACTTACCTTTGTCTCTCAGAAACTGTACATTGGATTTGGTGAAAGCTTGTTCAGATATAGACTCTTCACTATCGTAGCAGGTAGCAATAATATGAGTGTCACAGCCTCTTTCTTTGTACAGATGGACCGAGAAGGAAAAGTTTCCTTCCCCAACCAGGAGGAAACGTGCTTGTTGATGCTGCATGGAGGAAAACGGTCACTGTCAAAAGCCAGAGTTTGGGTTGTAGAAGACTTCGGGGGATTCTGCTCCTTTAGTCTCTTGCTCCTGAGGCAATCGGCTGGATCATTTTTGGAATATAAAATGAGGAGATGCAAGCTCCCAAATTCACCAGAGACTTTGTTCTATAGCAGAGAAGCAACCAAGCATCGCTCAGCGCCAGCCAGTATGGCTCACAGCAAGCAAACTGGGGAGCCGTGCCCCAAAACTTGCAGGAAGCACTTCAGGGCTCCTGCTGGATTAGAGAAAGATCCTGGTTCTCTGCCGAGACGACCTCCAAGGATGGTGCAGGAGTGAAACCAAGGAGGTAAACTGTCCCAGTCTAGGCTGCTTTTGCACAAGAAGCAATAGGTGGCAGCCAATCAAAGGGAAATCCAACCTGGAATTAAGCAGGGATTTCCTGAGAGCAAGAACAATTCATCAAGGGAACAGCTTGCCTCCCAGAGTTGTGGTTGCTCCATCGCTGGAGGTTTTCAAGAGAAAAAAACTGGACAATTATTTATCCAGGATACGAGGTGGGAGAAGAGGGAAAATGGGGGGGGGCTAGATGACCTCCAAGGTTCGTTCCAGCCCCATCAACCTACCATTTCATTCCACTGCTTTCTTTCAAATCACACCCTGGAGGTGGTATATTATTGTAATATATTATAGTAGTATATTGTATAGTAGTATATTATGTTATAGATTATATATTATTGTAATATATTGTTATATTATATTAGTATATTATATTATTGTAATATATATTACATTAATATTCTTATCATTATTATATTCTGGATTATTTGGGAGAGGAAAGAAAAGGACAGGTTGATGCTTGGCTGGGGATGATGGGTACGGCAAGGCTACAACAGCGCCCACACCCAGCAGGAGCAATAACGGCAGCTAATCTTCCCCCTTCCCAAATTGCCTTCTGACCAACCCCCCCCCCCTTTTTTTAATATAAAACAAATTCACGGAAAGAGGGGGGGGAATGATAAAAATATTTCCAAATTATCCTCCTAAACTTCCTTCTCCTCCTCCCTCCCAGCCCCGCCCCTCCCAAATGGCTCCGAAGCGCGGTCGAGCGTTTTTGACGTCACTTCCGGCGCGAGCGTCTCTTTTTCCCCCCTCCCCACTCCTTCCTGTCGTGCAGCTTCTCCGGTTGCCATAGGAACGGCTCTTTTTTTTTTTCCCCGCTCCCGCCCCGCCCCTTTCGGGCTTTCCGAGGCTTTCTGGGCGGCGGGGGCGTCTTCGGCAGGTAGGAACCGGGGGGTGGGGTGGGGGGTCGGGGGGGCTGTAATTATTTCTTTTATTGCTGCTGTCAAAGTTGTTTTCGAGGTCGGTTGGGAGGGGACGGGGTTGAGACGGTAGCCCGGTGTGCGTGGAGCCTCCGTGTTCAGGAGCAGTCTATCGTCTTTTTTTTTTTCGTATTTTTTTTTTTTGGGGGGGGGGGGGTTGGAACAATGTATTTCTAGCGCAGCCTAGCTGGAGAGGAGAGAGCACATTTAGCTCAAAACGAGCCACTCGTGGAAGAAAACTCTGGCTTTTTTTAAAAAAAGGGTGGGGGGAGGAAACCTGAAAGATAAACAAATCTTTTTTATTAAAAAAAAAAAAAAGAAGGGAGGAAAGGAATAAAGAAGGGAATAAGGGAGGGAGGGAGGGAAGAAAAGAGAAGGGGCAGAGGGAGCGAGAGAAGGAAAGAAAGAAGGGAGGGAGGAAAAGAGAGAAGGAAGGAAATGAGGAGGGAACAAGGAAGGAAGGAAAAGAGGAGGAAGGAAAGAGAGAAAGGATAAAGGAAGTTAGGGGAAAAAAGGAAAGAAAGAAAAAGAAAGAGGGAAAAGAAAGGAGGAAAAACTAAGGGAGGGAGGAAAGAAAAAGCAGGAAGGGAGGGGATGGGGTTTTAGAGCCGGAAGGTACCTCTAGAGAGCATTTAGTCCACCCTTTTCCGAGCAATGGAGGGTGAGATGCAGGGTTTTTTTAAGGTGGTGCTTCTTATAGCACCCCAAGACCCTCTCGGTGTCTGCAAAATCGAAACAAGTTGCCAGTCTATATTAAAAAATATTACAACATATGGAAAAAAAAACCATCAAAGTGTATCTTATTCCGAGTAAATTACACAGGTACTTTGAGCCACCCTCTTGACAGACGGGAGGGCAAGAAAATCAACTCTCTGGAGGTGCTTGTGGGACCCACAACAGCAAGAGGGGGCTGGCCCCCCACTGCCATCCCTCTCCTGCGCCCCCCTCTCTTCCCACTCCCTACCTTGACCATGTTAATCCAGGGACAGCTAGAGACCACTTAGACATCTCTTCACTCATGGAGGAGGAGGGGCAAGAGAAAGGCAACAAGACTTAAAATAACTTTATTGTCACTTTGAATGTACACTCATCGGCAACATTAAAATGAAATTCCATTGCATGTAGCTCTCAACCACCTCCAGTATACACACTGCATAAACACTGTTGTGGTTCGCCGGCAGCCGGTGCAGACAGCAGCAGAATCGGGCAGTGGGGAAGAACGGGGACCAGTCCAGGAGTCTGGACTCGGACGAGAGTCCTGCATCTGATGCAGGGATGGGGCCAGGACCATCTGGGAGTGGGGTCCTTCGGAGCCTCGAGGCAGAGGAACAAGGAGAGCCTGTTCCCAATGCGCATGTGCACAGAGCTGCTAGAAGGAGAGAGAAGCTGAAACCAAAGGGGCGATTCAGGAGTAAGGTTGGGAGGTGATTGCCCCACCCATAAGGTATAAAGGACAGGCAAAGGTAGAGAAACCTTTGCAGGAAGCAACGTCATTCGTTCGGTTCAGATTCATTCTTGAAGCTCTTTGTACTTCAGTTGTTTTTTTTTTCTAGTTCATTTGATACTTCTGTTATTGGCCGCACTTTGCAGAAAAGAAAGGTGGGTGCTTATCTCGAGGGATTGTTTTGAGATTCATTACCGGCTGGGAATGAAAACAATCCCCAGCGTTGCAATAAAACAAGACTTGCTTTTAAAATAAGCGTGTGCGTAATTACGGTCTAGGAAGCCTTGGTCAGAACAAACATGACAAGAAAGCCCAAATAAATAAATTAAAAAACAACAACATGAAGACACAGCAGAAAAGTCATGCCAGGCTGGTGGGCAAAGGGACCAAAGCTCTTTGTGCCCACCTCCCTTGGCAAGATGCAGTTTGGAATAAAAGCCTCTCATCCCAACTTGGGATAGTGTCATCAGCCCTCCCCAATGACCAGGAGATTACATCACAAACTAAACAAATTAGGGTTTTTTTTGGAGGGGGGGTTGCCTGCCCCAGGTCCCCACCCTAGCAAAGCCCTTGGCACTTTTAAAATCCATTGATAGCTTTCGCACCCAGGTTTCTGAGGTGCCCCATTTTTTCCTGAGATATTCCAATTGAGAAACGGGAAAAGTAGCAAGAAAATGTGGGATTTGGACGAGACCAGCAGTAGCAACATCACCACTACAACTTCGGACTCCGAGGTATTTCTGGCTGCTGAGTGGCCAGAGTTCTCCCCATTCCAGGCTGAAGCATTGGGGACAATTCCCTTATTCCTCTTTAATTATTCCCTTAGCCATCCATTTGCTAATCTGGATTAAAATGACTCCCAAGCACTTGGACAGGGGACAAAATGCAGATAAGTCTTCAGCTTACAACAAGTTCGTTTAGTGGCCATTCGAAGTTCCAGCGGCACTGAAAAAGGGGACTTATGGCTGTTTCTCAAAGTTATGCCCTTTGCAGCTTCCCATGCATCACGTGATCAAAATTCGGATGCTTAACAAACGACTCATGCTTATGACGGTCGCTGCATCCGAGGGTCACGCAATCCCCTTTTATGACCTTATGACGAGTGAAGTCGATGGGGAAAACCAGAATTAGCTTCACAGCCAGGTTACTAACTCATCCACTGTCCTGATTCACTTAACACTTGTGACAAGAAGAGTCACAAAGTGGAACAATAAAACTCACTTATCCAATGTCTCTGTGATGACCCAAAAAGGGTGTGGCACAAAGGCCACACAGTCAGATAATCGGTAGGAGTCCCTTTATTACCTCCAGCTTTGCCCCCAATGTCCAGGTTACCTTCTGGATGGAGAAAAACTCTCCCAGGAAAAGCCTTTGGCTGCAGAGAATCAAGTCCAAAACATGGTCAACACAAACTGCAACTTTAAGTCCAATCAAACCAAACTGAGGTAATTAGGCAGGAGGCAGGAGCAAGAATTCCAGACGTGAAGGCACGGCAATAACACAACATGGTTGGGAAGACGTCAGGAACACAGATAAGCCACAACAATATGAGATAAAGTCACTTTTGCTCCCAACAGCTGCCGCAGTCAGCATTCAGTTCTTATAAACTTTCATTCCCAGGGAATCAGGGCCCTTTCCTCCTCCTTAAGCCACGCAACCCACATTGCTCCCTTCTCCGTTCCTCCCTGCGTGCCCTAGGATGAAGAGGGGGTGGGCCTGGGTCTTCCACTGAACTCCCTCTCCCTTGTTCTACCTCTTCCCTGCTCTGCCCAACCGGACTTTGCCCTTCCCCAGTTTCCTCCACAGCCAACGGAGCCACACTCCCACTCCCTGTCAGCTGTTCGCCTTCCTTCTCGGATTCAGACTCCAACAGGGGCATGACAGTCTCACTTAACAATAGAAATTTGGGGGTCATAAGTCAAGGACTACCCTATACGTGTTGGTTGCCTATCACTTGAATTTAGTAGATCACGTGACTGTTTGGTTGTAAATGCGAGGACCAGTCATACACCACCTTTTGGGGGGGGGGGGGGCATTGTTGTAGCTTTGAACGGCTGTTAAACGAACATCTATAAGTCAAGGACTGCTTGTAAGGGCTTTTTTGATTTGCCGTACAGCCCTTGCCCTGTTTTCCTGTCTCCCGTCAGGACATGTCCCTGTCGTGCTTCTTTAACCCCCTTCATGGCTGCTTGCTCCACGCCGATGGCCACGGGGAAGTGTGGACGGACTGGAACAGCACGTCCAAGTTCTTCCAGTATGGCTGGAGGTGCACCACCAACGAGGACATGTATGCCAACAAGACCCTCTTGGGGAATTGGAACGAGGAGCGTTACGACATCCAGAAGAGGAGGCAGCTCCAACCTCTCCCTTCCCAGGTCAGGCTGTCCTTGGGACAGGATTCTGCCCGCTGGGGCGCCACAAAAAACG